CGTCATGAAGTCGACCCAGGTGTCCAGTCACGTTGGTCTTCACTGTTCAGGTATGTAGCGACTCCGTCTTTCCACGTGCGATGAAATCTCTTCCACTAATCCAACCATCTGTGGTCTGTACGGCACGGGGTTGATCTGTTGCGCTTGTAGAAGTTCTATCAACTGCTCAATCACCAAGCCTGCTAGCTCTGGAGCTCCATCTGTCAACAGCTCACGAAATGGTCCAAACTTGAGTACTACTTGCTGCATTATAAACTTGGCCACATTTTCTGCCGTGTGTTGCTTCACTGTAGCTGCCACTGCGTACCGCGTCACATACTCGACTGCGGCTATGACATAACGGTGCCCTCCATCAGTCGTGGGTAGTGGACCTGCTACATCTAGCGCCCATCGATCTCCAACATCACCTCCGTTGATACTTCTGAGAGACGGTATTACCTCACTTGGTCGTGCTTTCCTACTGCCGCATTCTTGACAGCTTCTCACCCACTTTTGTACCTCTCGCATTAAGTCAGGCCACCAATACACCTCTGCAATTCTTGCGTAAGTATGTGTTGCTCTAAGATGTATAGCCCATACTGAGTCGTGACTCTCCTTAAATACAATTGCCCAGAGATCTGGAGGCATGATTACACGTCGACCCCTCGCTGTGTTGATCACTACCAATCCGAACCTTGTCTCCACCTTCATGCCGCGATGCTCACCCGTATTCAGCAGTCTTCGGATCAGTTTGCTTCTTTTCTGCGACTCCATGATCTCCGTATCGGTTAGTTGCAGTGTCTGCGCGCCCGTAGCCTTCCGCGTACTTGTACTTCGTAGCTTTATTCTTCGCTCTTCGCTCGTTGTTTGTACAGGTTTTGCTGCGACTGTCTGCTTCCTGTTACTACCACGCATGGATCCTGTTTGTTGCACCACCTCTCTTCTTCTTTCCCCGTCTCCAGCAGATACTGCTGTCGTCTTTTCCTTGGTCTTCCTGGTATTTAATGGTGATTCGCGTACCGGTCGTTCACTACTGTTCGTCAACTCCCCGTTCTTTCGTTGGCCCTC